AAAAATAAAAAAAAAAAAAAAAAAACAGTTTTACATCAGTCAGAGGCCTAGTGGGTGTTCCCCATACAGGCTGAACTTTTTTCAGCAAGATGGGACGCCGCAAAAGCGACGCAATAAGGGCATGATTGTGAACATTGATGTCAGAAGCATATATTCTGCAAATATGAGCAAGTCGAGGCCCAGTAGGATGCTGAGAATCATGTTTCTAGCTTACTATCATCACGTGAACTCTTTGATTGAGGCATCCTAGACTTCTGAACTCGTAGCCCCAAAATGCAGTTATCGGGCGCCCTCCTCAAGACTGCAACCCTGTCCAAATCTGACGCACTTGCCAGTGTTTCCTGCTGCAAAACCACAGCGTTAAAGCAAAGCGAAGCGCCGCCTCCTACTACTATTACTACTACTACTACTACTACTACTTCTACTACTACTACTACCACCACCACCACTACTGCTACTACTGCTACTACGACGACGACGGCGACGACGACGACGGCATTACTACTACCACCACTGCCACTTCAACTATTCCTTCTCCTATCTACACTTGCTAGTTTGCAGTATCTTGGCTGCATTTTTTGTTGATGCTCGTCCATTCGTTGATCCCGGCTGCAGGTTCTCATTGTTTGGTTTTAGTTCAACTTTCTGCTTATCAAACTCTATTTCATGCGAAACTAGTATTCGCAACAAGCCACAACACGCATTCGGCGAACTAGTCGGCTGATGTGTTTCAATGCGTACGTCATGTTCCGGATGAGCTGAGGGAGATGGTGCGGTGTGTTTTCATAGACGAATCAGAACCTCACAGAAAGATGCAGGGCACCCCAGCTACAAGCAACATAACAGCAAGGGACAGCCGTTCCACTGGTGTTCCCGCCAGCTCAACTCGTGCATGCAAGACCTTTCACTCTACTTGGACCCAATTCCCCCAAGCATGGGTGGAAGCAATACAGTTTCGCATTTTCCGCAGCTCCGCACAAGTAAGACCCTCTCACCTGGGCTTCACCCAGTCTTGACCCGATTGCCCCGCGCTCTCCGAGCATCTCCCACTGCTATGATTTCAAAAGCATTCAGGAAATGCGGGAACAGCGCAAGTTGCGTTCCCCCATTTCAACGTGCCTGTAATGGGGCATCAATTCGGATGACTTCCCAGGAAGCTGCCCCGAAAGTTGTCGGCCTACTGGTCAAAGCCCGGACATCTAGAGGTATTTAGGTGCATGCCTTGGTGCAATCGATAGCGGAAGCAAGGGAAAAGAGCAATACCCCGGCGCCCCAGGACCGGCCACGCGCGTCATCCCTGGCCGCTGTATTCCGGCGGCTCCGTGAAACGCCACTCCGACAGAAGCTGCAAGATGCAGCAAGAACGAAATGAGCCGAAATGAGGTACTCTTCGGAGGGCGTTCATGGGCTCTTCCGGGGTGGACACCTCTACATGCTCCACCAGGCATTGTTGAAGAAAGTTGTCTTAGTCGGGTCTTTTCGAAAAAGGCCTGCGCAAGCGAGGTCTTGCGCGACGGCTGCCGCTGCCTCATGGACTTGCAGCTAGAAAGGCGGGGAAGCACATGGAAGCAGAATCGAATCTTCCTGGCATCTCGGCTAAGATGCCCAGGCTCCACCAGGAGAAGTCCCAGAAGTGGACTCGCAGGTCAGCAGCAAGGTTGGCTTTGCTCGGGCGTTTTGCGCTTTGCTCAGCTTGGGTCCCCCTTGGCGACCTTGGGTACTTGGGTAGGTTGGCATTGAAGTATGGCATCGACGGGCTTTGCTATCCTGTCCTACTGGCCTCCACGCGCGTGGTGATGCTAAAGAGTGAGGAGCTTTTGCTGAGCGGTTTCTTGAGAGAGAGGTTCGGAAAGGGCTTTTCAGGAGAGCACCTGGCAAAGCGTTTGCGAATGGTGTCGGAAACTCGGAAGAGAAGACTCGGAGTCTTTAACGAAGACTTTGCCTCCTCCTTGTCAGGTCGGGAGGAGGGGCTTTGGTCCCTTTTCGGCGGTCTCTTCGCTTCCCTCTTGTCCACGGCCTTGGAGGAGGCCCGGAAGCAGAGCGAGAGCTAAGCTAAGCGAATCTAAGCGAGAGTGAGGCGGAGCTTTGGATTCTTAATGAAGCAGAGAAAGTGAGGAGGAGCCTCATCAATTGTTAAGTTTGCCTCCATTTCGAGGCCATGGAGATCTTCGTGGGGATGTGCGTGGATCACGGCAGTGCAGATCCTGCTGACAAGCTGGTCTTGAAGGCGCCGCGGCCTCCAAGGTTTAAGCTCCTTTCTGCCATGAACTGTCAATGAGCTCTTTACTTCGCAGTTCGCAGTGCTCATGAACTTGCGCATTACGATTTCTGCACTCGAGCGCCACCTTCCATTGCCAGAGTTTCATAACAGCAGCGTCGCGGCAATTCTACTTCTTGCCACTCAGCGCAACAATGGCTGTGAGCGTCATGGAGTTTGGAGCGTCCATGTTCAAGAGATCAAGAGATTCCAATAAGCAGAAAAGCTACGCTATGCCATAATATGCCCAAACCATAATAACGTTTGTGTTCCAAGAGCCCATGGTCATCAGAGCATCCATGCCCAAATCATAATCATGTTCGTGTTCCAAGAGCATACGGTCACCAGAGCATAGATGCCCAAACCATATTCACGTTTGTTTTTTTGCTCGAGCGTGTGAACATGAGAGCAGTTTTCGGTTAGCTCCTCGCTCGGAAGTTGCAGCAAGCTTCACGCGTGCAAAGTCCCCTCATACAGCCTCAAACTTTCCATAGTCCTTCCTGAATTTGGCATTTTTAGGGCCCCCTTATGAAGCCAGAGACTTTGTAGAGTCCTTCCATAGGATCGCACAATTTAGGACTCCCTTGTGATGTTTTCGAGACTTTCTACGGCCCTTCCTAAGTGTTACAATTCTTGTCTTGAAATTTGAACAGCAGTTCGAAAGGCAGAACACAAATTAGCATGCCAGAAAACTGTGCTTTCTCTTTACGACGGCACAATACGAGACATTAAAACATTTCCAAGAGCGCTTCGAACAACAGAAGGCCAAATAGAAAGCCACAGAAAACTGAAAACTTTGTTTTTTTGCTGACGAGCTGCGGGTGTCGAATCGCGTTAACACCACCTTAAAGCGAACAAACCGACACAAGTCCATTCAAAAAGTAGCCCAAAATGTTTGGGCAGGGAACATTTTCAAGACACTTCCGAATCTAAAACCTCAAAAAAGTATTTCCTGACACGTCATCCAAAAAGTGGGGCCAAAATCAGGCCACTTGCCCAGTTTTTGGAAGCCTATTGGCTGATGCTTTTGGGCCCCGCCAATGTTTTTTGCAGTAAAGCAGGGAGCACGCAGCACATATGAATTGGCATGTCACGCTGCGCTTCAGATCCCTCAGGCTTGCGGAAGCAGCGTGGTGTCCGTCTTCACATCCCCGATCAACTACGTCAGTGTCATCCAGAGGCGGACTGTGCAAGACAGTTCAGCTCAACAGCTAAGCAAAGCGGTACACAGGGAAAGAGAAAGGGTAGGCCCAACCCGAAACCCGACAGCTTCATTTTTCCCTTGAAAATCCCTTGTACAGTTCCCAGCACTTAGCCCCCACATTCTGAGTTTGACATCCCACCTTACCCGTCCCTCTAACGCCCTCTTTTAAGTGAGAGTTGAATAAACACACTCAGTTTAAACCTTCTTTTATGATTTTGTAGATTTTGGTAGTATTCTATGGTGGGCATTGTTCAGAGATCATGCAGATAGCCTTTCCGATGTCGTGTGAGTGACATTGCTAAATTTGCATTGTAGCCAGGAGACTTCTGCGAACACATCTTGTTTATCAACATGGCAAACATATTGTCCGCTCTTCAAATGCTCTGGTAAGCTCTTTGATTGCTGAGCGTAGGCTTTCGGACGTCATATATGTAAAGCTAGATATGTTCAACAGTTTGTCTACGCGCTCAACCGCGCAGGATAATACAATTGTCATTCATCTGTTGCACTTCTCAGTCGTGCAATACACATCATAGTCGATTCACTGTGCAGTTAAGTTCGTGTGCATACTGCCCTTCATCACTTGGAGAAGGCAGCTCTATCCGCATTTTGTGCTGCAGGCGCTTCGTTTGTCTTTCCATTAAACAGTCGACTGTTACAAACTAGTTGTGCGAATGGTCTTGCTGTAAATCCTTTCACCTTCTCATACATACAGTTATTGACAGAGTTCCTTTGAAATACCTCATCAACCGCATCGCCGCTTTGCTTGTCGGTACTCATTCGCATGGGTGCCGAAGCAGCGAAGCATGGTTTTGGGGCTTAGGGCGAGCCTTAAGAGTTACTAGGAGTTACTGAAGCCGACTGGAGCCGGTGTTTTGAAAGGTGCCAGTCGCCGCGGCTGCCTGGCTTCTTGAGGAAACAGCGTGAAAGTGCCCTGGAGCTCCGGGTGTACTCTGCCAATTTGGGGAGGCCGCGACCTCTCCTGGATGTCCTGCGGGGTCTGCCTTGGCGAGGACCTGCGCTGCTGATATCGCGCGCCCCGGTGTCGAACAATGCCAGGATCCTTCAATCAGCTCCTCCTCTTCTCGGGGATTTTGGGGCTCAACATGAGGCAGGAGTGCAGCATAGTGCAGCATAGTGCAGCCATGTGGGCCTACACTGCATTGCTTTGCATTGCATGCAAAATGCATGCAACTCAAACTCAGAGGCTGATCCAATGGAAGATCCAGCTCAAGGTGCAATGGCCTTTTTCTTCTCATTCTTCTGATCGGTGCGATCAGTGGGAAATCCGCGTGCCAGGAAGAAGAAGAAGAGGAGGAAGAGTGAGCGGGTGAGCTGCCGAGCTACCCTACACCCTTGCTGTGTGGCAAAAGAAGGCAGAGGTGCAACTGCTAGGATCGCGTCTTGAATGGCTGAAAGGTAAACTGAGGATGCAGCTGTTGAGCGACAGGCCTGTAGATATTCGCAACATGAACCGGTCCAGAAGGTTGCTTCTAGCACCGCACGCACATTGGCAGAGATGGGCGACATGGGCAGCAACCTCATAAGCATCCAAACGCTTGCAAGCTAAAGCAGACATGCACTGGAAGCATGTGCGATGCGGCAGCGCCCGGCAGTGTTTGTAGCTCAGAACGCAGTTTTTCCGTCAAGAGAAAGGCTTGAAGGGCAAGAATGGGAGTTGGCAGGACAGCTATGTCCAAGGTGGGATGCGGTTCGCAATGCAAGCAGCAATGCAAGCAGTGCTCGTTGGATTGAAAAAGTGCTTGAATCGCTTCTGCTTCAGCCCTTTGGGTTCAAGCTACAGCAAGAGAGAAACATTCCTCGAAGGCTCGGCCTTCTGGCCTTCCGATATGGGGCAGGCTCCGGCAGGGTTGCAAAATCGGACGCGTGACGAACCGGTGCTGTTCCAGGCGGGCAGCGCCGGAGAGGTGCCTTTCTAGAGAAGGGATGCAGGATGATAGCAGAGAATGGAATTTGAGTGCCTTCAATGTCAGGTGCTTAGCTGCGCTGGAGGCCTTGAGAAGCTAGGCAGGGCGCTGTTTTGAAGGGCCCAGGCGAGACGTGAATGATGGGGTGACGGAGTGATACGGTGTAAGATGAGGCGATGACGAGCTGCTGAGGGCCGCCTTTGCATTTCTGCACACGCGGCCGAGCCTCTTGGAACGGGCCCGCGCGCGCTTCTCGGCGCCCTTGGACTTCGAGGCAAGCGACAGATCCGACCCAGAGACCGAGAAGACCGTTTGTGGTTCTGCAGGAGCCTGGGCTCACAGATCCCAACGAGCTGATGCTTGCAGGAGAAGGGAGGGAAGGGAAGGGAGGGTTTTCGGGGGAGAAGAAATGTTGAGAAAGATTGGGCCCTTTATTTGCAGTGCGGTTGCGTTTATGCGAAAGGTGGCATCACGATCCTGGCTGAGAGCAGCTGGAGCCCTCCGCGGTTGCACTGCAGCGAGGCACGCTGCTCAGGAGGGAAAGGAACGGGGACGGCCTGCGCCTGTTTGTCTGTTTGTTGTGTTTTCTGTGCAGGTGAAGCCCGGGCAGCCGCTCTCATGGCATGGTACTTAAGGGCATTTCTTGCCGCGGGTGCGTTTAAGTGCTGCAGCAATCTGCGGCAGCTGCGGGGTGCTGAGGACGCAACTGCCCGGTCAGGAGCTGAAGAAGCTGAAGGAGCTGAATTCTGAAAGATGTTTTTCCTCTCCCGTCCAGGTTTGGCCATGTGTGCCAGCCGTGTGGAAGGCTTCCTTGGGCACTGGGCCCTTCGCTTCCCAGGCACCCAGAAGCTGGAGCTTTTCAGCTGCAGAAATACTTAAAGGACCGGAGAACCCACATGTGTAGTTTAACCTAGATTTAAATGAGATATTATTAGGATAGCGTCGCCCGGCGATATAGGAAGATATATTTGAAAGAATGCAAACTCTTGAGACCAACTGCCGCGGCGAAACGACGAGCACATTGGGCGAGCGCGAAGTTGGCATCAGCTGCATCTGGTGTGTATGTATATGCATATGATCGCGTATACATTTCGCATATGGTTTATTGCCATACTGAGTATATGAATGTGTGTCTGTGGGTGTGTGTGTGTGTGCGTGTGTGTGTGTGTGTGAGGGTGTATG